CGCCAGCATGCCGGCGCGCGACCCTCTTGTGATTCCGTTCGTCGCGCTTTTTCCTGACGTGGTTCCCTTTTGTTTTCAGTGTGCCTCGAAGTTCTTCGCTTGCAAATTTGTCCGTCTGGTTATACGAAAACAGTGTGGAAAACACGGTGCCTTCCTTCTTGACTCTTTTACTCAAAAATTTCCTGAAAGAATAGCCCTCGTATACTGGTTCAACTTCTTGATCACTACCGTGCTTTCTTGCCTCTCAAATATCAATGGTTGTCAGACCACACTATCAATTTTGTAACTTATTTTCGGGAAGAAACCCATGTCAAGCATACCTATTGATTGTAAGACACATTTTGATTTCGGTAATATTTACACATGAAAAAAAATCAAGGAAATATATGAAACTGCCAAATCCAGTATAAGTTATTTGCTTGGTCACTGCAACACTGGACAGCTGGCCACCTTCTTTTATTTTTTGCCACGTTCCTGATGTTGCTATCCTGGTTCTCTGTCTCGCAACTGCTCGTTTTCTTCCTTTTATTGTCTTCCTACCGTGTTCTAATTTTTAATCTTGTGCTTTTTCTGACTTTACAGGTTTGCTCTGGGCAATCTCATACATTGAAATTAACTGTCACTGCTGTATAGATGGCGTTCAGCTCTGTATTTCATCTTTCCCATCGAGCTCAGTTAAAATTAATGCATCATGAAATTGCGATTCTTTCACCCCTGGTGCTACAGTTCTTCCTGACTTAGAAATAGTATTTTTGACTTGACATCACTTCTGTTGTCTTCATTGTGTCAGTTTTCAAGACACAATTTTTCTCTTAAGTAGTTGCATTATCTATTGCTGTGTAACTGTCTCAAAGCTGAAGCAACTCACAAGTGGTTTTTTTTTTTTTTTTTAATCTCTTAGAGTTTCTGAGGGTCAGAATCTGGGAATGGCTTCACTGTGTGATTATAGGTCGGAGTCTACCACAAGGTTGCAATGGAATAAAGGATCATTGGAATCGAAGGTTCTACTTCCAAGCTCACCAATGTGGTTGTTGGCAAGTCTCAGTTCCTTGCCGTTTCCATAAGGCAGTTCACAGCATGGTAGCTGGTTTCCCCAAGAGCAAGAGAGAGGGAGCAACCAAGATAGAGGCCCCAGGACATTTTATAACCTAATCTCAGAAGTGACATACTGTCTCCTCATTCTGTTCATCAGAGACCACCCTGGTACAGAGCAGGAGGATACTATAGACAATGAATGACAAGAGGTGGAGTTCATAGGAGCCATCTTGGATACCATGGTAGTTTTGCTCCAGGAATATGTGTTTTTGTTTTTGTCATCCTAGGTCAGGCTCAAAGTACTCCATATTTGGAATGTTTATGTGTGGTACCAGCTAGTATGCTCCCATTACATCTTCAGAGATGTATGGTTCCATATATATATAGGCACCATATTCATTATATTGTTATATATGTTATATATATTGTTACATAGTATATAATGAGGTCTGCATAAACCTCATTTAATTCCTTATTGACTACATATTTTTTCGCCCTGTGCTAAGTGCTTTATATATATTAACTCATTTAATTATTTTAGCAATCCTGTGAGATAGATACTATTGGTCTCATTTTACAGATGAGAAAACAGGATTAGAGGTTAAGTAATTAACTTGAGGTTAAGTAATGGTCACATAGCAGTTAAGTTAGCATTCTGCAGGGTGCAGTAGCTCATACCTGTAATCTCAGTACTTTGGGGGGCAGAGGTGAGAAAATCGCCTGAGCCCAGGGGTTTGAGACCAGCCTGGGCAATTTGGTGAGACTTCGTCTCTACAATAAATAAAAAAATTAGCTGGGCATGGTGGTGCGCACCAGCTACTTGGAAGGCTGAAGCAGAAGGATCACCTGAACCCAGCAGATGGGGGCTGCAGTGGCTATGAGTGTGCCATTGCACTGCAACCTGGGCGACAAGAGTGAGACTCCCACTCAAAAAAAAAAAAAGAATCTAGGATTTGTACCTAGGCAGTCAGTTTCAGAATTTAGTTTTGTTCAGGCTTTTATAGCCAGTTATTCGCGGTTTCCATAATATAGCTATGCCTTATTCTTTTACAGTTTTGTTCATTATTATCCTGTAGGTAAATGAGATTACTGTTGTCACTGGACTTTCTTGCCCCTTGATATTTCGTTGTGTTCTTAGTTTGGAATAATGCCTGTTCTCCCATTTATGAAATCTTAATAATGCCTGTTCTCCCATTTATGAAATCTTAATCATTCATCAAGGGCCATCTCAAATCCCACCTTCTCCAAAATCATCCCAGTTATAAATGGAGTTTCTTCTGTATTTCTGTGCAGTTTAGACCAAATCACTCTTACTGTTTCATGTCTTGTATTTATTTGTGTCTCCACCTTTATTTTGCTATGATACAGACATTTTAAGGTTAGGGACTGTGTTTTCTCCTCATGTCCCCCAGAGCACCTGACATAATCCCTGGTGCATATTAGGCACCTGATAAACATCTGTTGAAGGAGTGAAAGTTGAGCTAGTTCAGATTTGCCTGTATTTTAGGCATGAAAAAACGTGGGGAGATACCCTGGTCAGAAGTCTTGGATGTCAGCCTCTGGGCAATTTTGCGGTTTTGGACAAGCCACGTAGATCTCTCTGGACTCTAAAGATGAAAGTTGATGTGGTCATGGACTAAACTGGTAGAACTGGGGATAATATGGATAGATTGTAAAAGAAAGATGAGGTTTAGGCAACTGAAATGGAAAGATGAAGAGGAGAGGCTCAGTTGTGACTGAGTAGTTGAATGTATAAAAAACGGGAAGGTTGAGGAAAGCTGGTTGCATCTTACCTGATGCTAGGTTATACAGACATGTGAAATTTAAGCCCCAGAGAGATTAGGGCAGTCAGTTCCTCAAAGGCGGGGGGCATCTTATTTCTTTCCCTGCCCCCCTCCTCCATAGGTGACTCCTTGCCCTAGCTCCCTCACTGTTTCTCAACATGCTGTGATTTCTCCCCCCTTCATGCCTTATGTTCTCCCTTTCCTTGCTAAGTGGCCAGGGATGACCACATAGACTCCCTTTTTTGGTCAGCTGCTTGCCTTTTGAGGTTTTCTGATCCTCCCTCATTTGCCTCTATAGGTTTGCCTCTATAGGTTGAATTATGGCTCCTGGCTCCTCTCTGCCGCCCTCTCTTTTCTCTCTACTCATTTCCCACTGAAGGAAAATTTGTATTTTGGCAAGATCATGAAAGAGAGAAATAAAGGATAACTACATCCTCTCAATGACACTTTCCTTCTCTAATCCTTTGGGTCCTCCTCACTAAAGCTTCTTTTACAAGGACAAGCACATGGTACGTATTAATTAAATGCAGTGTGCACATCAATTTGAGCTGAAGGGTACTTAAGCCTGCAGGTTGAAATAAAAGTATTTTCTTTTTCAAGAAAGGGAAGCATTTTGCTTCTTTGAGCTGGGAGAGAAGGAACCAATGGAGAAAGTAAAGACCTTCCACCATCCTAGATGGATTGGATTCCATTGGAGAGCAGGGTTAGTTTTAGAAAATAGGAACATTTTCCTGAGACTATAGGGAAGAAGAGTTCAGTAAATGGGTGGTTTTTACAATGGTTATTTTTTCCCTTGGGGAGGATGTGACAGTTTAAGCTGAGACTGACATAGAATGTAAAGAAAAGTGTGGGCATGAACTCACTTGTGTGTGTGATTCCATGTAAGGGTGTGTGTGTGTGTGATTCCATATAAGGGTATGAATGTGTGTGATTCCATGTAAGGGTGTGTGTGTGTGTGTGTGTGTGTGTGTGTGTGTGTGTGTGTGTTTCCATGTAAGGGTGTGTGTGTGTAGAGGACTGGGGAAGGAATAAGAGTGTTTACCAACTGACCAAGGACATGTAATAAGAATATGGAGGGAGCTGCTCTGAGTCTTTTTATAGTAGCACCATATGTTGGTGATTGGTAAAGCTAGTTGGTAGGAAGGCAGGGGTGCTCTTGCTTGAAGGGCAGCACTTGTTGGGAGCCAGCCTTGGAGGCCCGCCTGATGACAAAGTCCAGGTGCGCTGAGGACCCCTGGCCGCAAAGCGAGCCCAGGCAGCTGAGGCCCTTCTGTCTTCCATCTTTGCTGTTGATACAGCTGAAGAAATTCTGTGCAGTCATGAAAGAAGATGGC